AAAACTATGCCAGTGCTCCCCCTGAGCCCTGAACTCCAGCAAATTTGATTATGCAAGTAAAGCAGGGATCTGCCTTTTGCCCCCATGGTTTTACTGCAAAACAATGTAATCCAGACCCATTTTTTATCAAAAAATCCCCCTCACACACACACTGCGAACATAATTTATTACTTACTTGAGCAGTTGCGATAGTTACATGGAAAGTCAGTACCAATGGGAGTTGAATTTAAAGCCTAACATATGACTAAAATGAGATTCCTAATTATTTACTTCAGACACATGCATAAACCCAGTTCAGTTTTTGAAAATGCTGTATATCTGCATAATTCATTGACATCACCTGACTTAGGGGAGTTTAGCGCTTGTGAAATCAGGTTAAATTTAGGTGCCTAAGTGTGTTGCAGGTTTAGAAACTCTGGCCATCGACTATACAACCAACAGATTTAGAAATCCGTTGAAGTTCCTCCAGTTTCTGGAGGTTGTATAGCTTGTGACTACACTCTGTGCCCATTACCAAATGCAAACAATATTCTTGTCAGCATAACTCTAGGATTACGTAATCTGTAAAGTTCAGCCACATAACACATCTTTTTTAAATGACTAAGAAATATTAAAAAAAGCATTGCATATGTAATGGTGGTGCAGGGCCCTATGGGACTAATTCTGTATGATAAAATTATGTTGGACATTCATTAGGAGTGAATGAATATTTTTGCATGACAAAGCACACTGATTTAGGAATGGAGAGATATGCTGTGTGATTTGAAAAATAAATGCAAAGGAAAATTTTGTGCACTTTTATCTAAATAAGGCAAACCTATATTGAAAACACAAACATGAAAAAATATCAACAAGCAAATTTTTATATTTATGGATAGATATTTTTCTTCTTTCAAAGAAATCCAATTTTAAAAACTAGGCTGAAAATACAATTTCAAATTACAGTTGTTACTAAAAGCCACATACAGAAAAGCAAATGTTTCTGAGTTATCAATATACAAAAGATATAGACAAGAAAAAAGATCAAGTGGTCACAGTTCAAAAAGTAGAGGTTGAAGGTAATATTGTAAAGAATATTTAAGTAGAACCGTAAGCACAGATTATAAAATGCACAAAATCTTCCATTTTCTTTTTGGAATATGCATACATTTCAGAAGATATTTGTGAGCTAAAAATGCTAGGTTTATTAATCACTTCAAAAACCCATACCCATTCATGTATTTTCCTAGCTAAGGAAAGAATTGCTCATGCTGTGGGTTATACAGGGAATAAATTCCCTTTTCTGTTCCATGCAGCCAAAATCAATCTTTTTCCCATGGTATCTTAGTGCCTATTCCACTTCAGATTTTGCTGCTAAACAAGAGAAAAAAAAAAAAAAAGAAACCCAAACAAACCCAAAACCTAATAATTTCTAGGTGCCTGTCCAGTCCCAGGTGATCCAGATTTTCATACCAGTTACTAAATTCAGATTAGTTTCTTTTAATAGCCTTTCTTTCTGTACTTCTAGCCAGGGTTAGCTAGCCTTTCACTCACTATACTGGCAAGAGTTTTTGCAGGATGATTGTTCACAATTTCCTCCTGAGGAATTGAAAAGCTTGAAATCAGGAATCCCTAAGAACCCTCTGAGCACTGATGAGCTGAACAGGAATAATTAGAGTGCCTTGTATTTAGATACTCTTTTAATTCAAGTGTCTTGAACTACTTTGCAGAACAGAGAGATGACTTCACCCATCAGTGAAAGGAGACTTTATGGTAGCACTAACAATACTCCATATCCGTACACAAAAGGAGAAATATTCACCTCGCTGAAACTACGAGGGTCATTAAAGAGTCTGCAGTTGCCAAGCAACACTAAACAGCAACATCTGAAATAGTCTGGACGAACTTACAGTGCAAGGGCTGAGCTGAAAGCACCACGGCGAGAACTCAAACTCTACAATGGGGGTGAATTTTATCACTAGGTCAGGAGATTTTAGAATCTCGGGTTTATGTTTCTGTAGGTGACACTTGCAAGAGTACATGCCATCTGCTGAACTGGTACAAAGAACATTATTTACAGAAGTGCTAATACCTAGCCATGAAAAGAGATAGTACTGGGTAAGCTGACAAGGAGGCAACATGTGATTCCCTTTAAATTATATTTTAGAACAAAAAAAAAAAAAAAAGAGGAAAAAAAGGAAAAAAAAAAAAGAGAGAGGTGGGTAGAGAGTAAAAACCAGAGTTGCCAACATGGCTGGCTAATATCCCAGGACTGTGGAAACTGGCCAGCACATGCAGGACTGCTGGGCTAATAAACACAGCAACTCTTCTACTGGCTCCTCTGCAGTTACGCAGTGCCTCACTGCCTCTATGAACTTGCAGCAGTGCCACAGCTCTGATTTCTGCATCCCTGCCAGATGTTTTTCAGCTGAGCTCAGAACAAATTTCCTGCAGAATCAAAGCTTCATCAGCTGGTATCTGTAGAGATCACCTTCCAAAGATTAGGTCAAAACTGGCCTGCAAGGGATGGAAACTAACACCCTATTACCATGAAACATTTATATTTCAATAATATAGAGGCAGGGGATGCTCAGAGATTTCTTGTTAAGCCTGATAAAGTTATGCTTGCTTCTTCTCTAATAATCTCCAGTATAATAAAATACTAGTAAAAAACTTGTCATCACTTGGAATTTCTATCCCATACAGAAAATTCTATCCAAAGAAAAATTATCTCCTGCCTTCCACTAACAGAGAATTAAAGTTATGCATTTTGTTTTACTGAGGGAATTGCATCTATTCATTGCATGTGTGTAACAAATCCCAAACTGCAAACTGATTCACATCTACAAAGCTCCCAGTCTCTGGGGTCTTCCAAGCCAGGAACTCAAACCCACCACAACCCACCCCTCATTACCTAGTTCTGCAATAGGACTATTGTTTCCAATTGGCATGGTTTGTTAGCTGCATCTCAAGTACTAAGTTCAGATCTGGGCCTCTCACTCCAAGAGAGATACTGAGTTGCTGTAGCGGGTCCAGAGGAGGGCAATGAAGAAGGTGAAGGGTCTGGAGCACAAGTCTTATGAGGAGTGGCTGAGGGAACTGGGATTGTTTAGTCTGGAGAAGAGGAGACTCAGAGGGGACCTTATCGCCCTCTATAGCTACCTGAAAGGAAGATGGAGAGAGGAGGTGGCTGGTCTCCCACTTAACAAGTGATAGGACAAGAGGTAACAGCCTCAAGCTGTGACAGAGGAGGTTTAGGCCGGGTATTAGGAAAAAATTATTTACTGAAAGAGTGCTCAAGCATTGGAACAGGCTGTCCAGGGAAGTGGTGGGGTCACTGTCCCTGGAAATATTCAAAAACCACGTAGATGAGGCCCTCAGTGACATGGTTTAGTGGTGGTCAGGAAGTCCTGGGGTAAAGGTTGGACTTGATGATCTTAAAGGTCTTTTCCAACCTAGCTGATTCTATGATTAAAATGGATGACTGCAAAATTGATATGTAGCATCAAAGACGGCACTCCTTTTACCTTCAGCGCAGCACATCATGTTACACAGTTGCTTATACGCTTTTTACTCAACACAGACCTTTTAATGCAACCAGTCTAACAAACACAAAACCATCTCTCTTAGATGACTTACTGAAGCTTACAGAAACGCTTCTATTAGAAAAGCAAACAACAGTAAAAAACCCCAAACAAACCCCCCAAACCAGGGGGAACGTTAAGGTAGCAGCACAGAAATGGAAGCTCCCCCCAGCCAAGATTGTAAAATTCAGTTCCCTGCAGTTCTAGCCAGTAATGTAATGTGTGCTCAATACAGAAGAGTTCACAGAACATTTGCTCCACACATACAAACCAATGCAACAAAAGATTTTGCAGAGTAACAGCTTGATCACTGCAGAAGCTTTACGTATAGGAGCTTTCTGTACAGTAGCTTGTAAATAGCATAAACCCAGGTATTATGAGAGTGGCTAGGTTTTGCTATATAATCTTGTTTCAGGAAACTACATTAAAACTCATACTAAAAGAACATTATAGTTGTATGCTCAGCACTAAAAGAAAGTAAAAAATGCTGTAGTGGTATAATCAAATGTTTAACTTTCTCCTCTTGCATGCATGTATCACAGCACATGCATCTAATTACATAATCATATGCCATATATCAAATATAATACTGATTTTGTAAAAACTTTTTGAACATCGACTCTTGGAAATTCCTCATGAATAACTTCTATGCATTCCTTTACTGTACACATAGAGTAGCCACCTCGCTGTAATGTATTAAGGTATTACAAATTGTAGAAGTATGTTTAAGAAGGGTAAAAATCATTTAAGAGGCAATGTGAGATAATTTCATAAGTGTTGATGATGAACTAAAGACACATGAGATGAGAACCAGAAGTAATCTTAACTGTCTGTTCATGCGATTTTTGAATCTGGTGCCCTAACAGGATGGGGTTTAGTGGTGCAGCATGGGACACTCTGCCACGCAACCAAGACTATGGCCAACTGTCATCCAAACACCCTGCTGGCACAGATAAGGAAAACTGGAGCAGAACACCAAGACTCTGCAGCAGTGTAACTAGCTCCAGTTGCTTCCCAGTCTAATAAGTGTCTGGTGAGTATTTAGGCTGCTAAGCCTTTTAGGGAACTTTTTCTTTCTTGGTGAAATGGTTGCAATTCAACCGAGAAAAATTTCAAAACTGTAACTGATTTGAAAAGGCAATGCAGAGAAGTGGCCTCACCATGGAGAATTCTAACAGGCACTAGAGCAGCTGTGAAACAGTCAACATTAGCATGGCAGTGTTACCAGGAAAAGGTTTCCCATCAATTGTTCTTCTTTATAAAGTAATACCTAAATCCTGAAGACTAAGTTTTTAAATTTAGCTCCTAATTTAATATGCAATTACTGCTGCCCTGATGGTGTTTTAATGACAATATATTTTTATTGGTGACTTCAAATGAACCTCATCTGATCACCTTAACCCTTCTCTCATCATGCTTTACTTAATGACTCATTACCTGTAGTCACACCAGGGACATCTGTAAGGCTTTTCTCCAGTATGGACACGCTTATGTCGTGTCAGATGCGATTGTGTTGTGGAAGCGAAGTTACACTCATCACATTTGAATGGTTTCTCTCCTACAAGATGACAAGAGAAGATATGCGTTATCAGCTTTCATCAGCAGAAAATGAAGACAAGTCTAAATTTCTGGCATATCCCCTGAGAAAGATCTTAGTCCAGGTACATATAACAACCACAAATACAAAATTGATTTCCAAATGCCATTTATTAATTGCAAAATACTATTCTCACTGTGACATATACATATCAGTAGCCAGATGACTTCCCATGTGGTGTTACACAGCAGCAAAAAGGAGAAAGAACTGCACTGAAACAGGGTAACCATGATACCGGGCCTTATTTCTTGCCAATATCATCACCAGGTAACAGGCATTCCTTTCACCCTACACTTTCTGTTGAAGCTGGGCCTATGAACAGCCCTGAAAGCAACACTGCTGGAGACAGAAAGTGAGAAATCAGTCTGAGGCTTGTATTCAGTTCTGGCTCAGAAAGGAACATCTCAATGGGAAAAGTGTCTTTTTGTTTGTCTCTAGTCCTGGATTTTTTCATCTTATCTATTAAATAATACCAGGACAGAGAATATGAACCAGAACTCAGTGCTCTATTCCCCCTCTTTTGCTTACTATCCTTCTGCCCCCATGAATCTTTTCTGAACAGTGGGCCAATTTCAGCAGGACTTGAAAGGTTAATGAACACACACCCCACTCCCCCACATCCCAAATCACTAAACCTAGAGTAGGACAATAATATTTTCAGAAGACAAAACTTCAACCTCTCTGCCGAATGTGCAACTGCACTGAAAATTTCTAGAGGACTATTAGTTGAAAAAAGATAAAAATCTCTAGCTTATAAATCGTTACGTGAAAAGAGTATTTTTCCTTCCAGCAGAAGGGTCCACCCCTTAGAAGACACTAAGACAAAATCTCATAACAGATACACATGCTGTGATGCCTGGCTAAGAAACCTGTATCCCATTTTCCCAACTGGTTGCTCCAGAAATATTTTGCGTGGCTTACAGGCACATGTAATTACCATTTAGGGAGGAAACAGTTTTCTTTTTGCATGCAGAAGACAAAAGGCAGTTCCTAACTTAGGTGATCTTGACTGCATTGTGCAAACCCTCAGAAATATTTATCCTAAAGACTACGTAATGAATCAAGATCTCAAGAAGTCTGAATAAAACTGCTAGGGATGGGCAACGACCTTGCAGACTGTAGAGGTCTAGAATAGGCAGTTTCAAAACTGAAGCCTAAGCTTCTTAGCAGCTACAATTTGCAGCTCTTCAGAGTGAAAGGAGACCATGAGCAGAAGACATATTGCTAGCAAAAGACCACTCCCAAGTGGCCATTCCTCCAATCCAGATTTTTTCAAGCCTTCTTAAAGTATGAGATATTCAAGACTTCTAAAAAGATTCTGCCAGAATTCTGAGAAAAAATTGGAAATCTGTATTTTTCATCCTTGGAGAATGCTCGGGTTTGTTTTTTTTTTCATCCAAAGGGAAAAAGAAATGAAAGGTCTTCAGGCCTGAAAAGCCCTTAATGCTCTATGGAAGGATAACAGAGCAGCTTCTGAAAGCTCCATAAAGATTTGGAATAATTGCTGCTGGAGAGAATATTCAGCCGCTATTTTTCATTTATTGTTTCATGGGACAAGGAAATGTGAAGGGGCAGGACACAATGCAGAAGCCTCTATGCTGGACAAATTGAGACTGTTAGAAAGTATGTCTTTCCTGCCCCAAACGAGGTTTTCTTGTCAGACACTGACTCTCTGCTCTGGAGAAGCTGATTCTCCCAGCAGCTTGAACGCTACTGGCTGCTGCTTCAATTAAACTCTCTGGGAGGCCATAGACTCCCTAGCAACGTAACCTGTTCTTGAACTGAAGATTTCCTGTGACTGATTTATTTTATCTTCTAGTATTAAAGAAGATAGCAACATTTTCAAGCCTAAGTAGTAAAGCCACAGGTATTTTAGATAACATACATACTTATTTTAACTGCTTTCATGTAAAATGCATTAGAACCTTGCCAACTTGCCCCTTGTAAAAATATAAAGAGCAGATCTGAACTGAATGACGATTTTTAGTTTGTCATTCGGGGGAGGGTGTGTCTGGTAAAGGTGCTGCTGTGCTGAGGCAGGGCCTGTGGAAGCCGGAACGGTATGCAAATTCTGTTGTGACCAGAAGAAAAATTGTAATCCTTGCCCACTGCTCCATGAAGGTTCTGCTTAGGAAATCCTTGTGGCTAACTGCTCCTCTCAAGTGGACTATGTGTAAATCTCACCTGACAGAAAACACATCACGGCACCACCACGCAACAAAAGCCAACTGAACTGGGAGGAAAAAGACTGCCTAGCTTGGCCTGTGACTCTTGGCAGCTGCACAAGGGAAAAAGTATTTATTTTTATAAAAAAAAATAGGTACTTCTTTAGGCTGGGGGTGTTGAAGAGTGTATTAGCTACAGCAGCAGTATAGCAGCATTTATCGGTTTCAGTTTTTCCACAGAACCATTCATTTAAGTTTTTTCTATCTTCCTTATCTTTTGGCCAGAATGCTCGTTGTCTGTCTTTGTGTCCCAATTTTCCTTCCCCTCTTCCTGCCCCCAGACATTTCAAGCAACAAACTTAATTTCATTTTTATAGGGGCTGCTATTAAATATTCCAGGGGGATTCCCCCCACCCCCAAAGATCTAATTAATACAAAATTAAAACAATACAAATCAAAAAAAGCAATATTGACTATTTTTTAAACAACAATATGTCATAACTATAAAATAGTGCATCCAAGAATGTGTCATTAAGGACAAAGTCTATGTATTTAAGGATTAATAAAGGTAAACAAAACCCAAACTAACCTCCCACACACCTTACCATTATAGAAGACTTGCTCATGCTTCACCATCTCTCACTTTATCAATAACAAATCCCACCAAAAAGAAAGATAGGTGCCCCAAAATGACCCAACGTTCAGCAAGCTCTGAAGGGGAGGGGGAAAGGAAGTACACACATTCCAAGAGCAAGGAACCTCACCTCCAGCACACACACACAAATTACAGCTTTCTCTTTCTTTCCTTCTTCCTCTTTTCTCTGATTTTACCTTTTTTGAGTTCCCTGTATTTGGTGATGAGCTTTTTAGGACACAGAGCACACCTCACCGCAATTATAAATTTATCTGTGCAGTTATGTACTTAACATGTACATTTTAAAGTAAAAATGTAATAAAACAATAACAAAAAAAAATATGAATCTGGTGACAGATGTTGAGTTGTGGATAGCAAAATGAAATTTTTATTTATAATCATGACTCTCCAGGCAATTTTTACCTATAGGTTATATACAGCGCCTATATGAATGTGCTACTGAGTATCCAGCTTTCACATAAATGAAGGGGAAAAAAATAAAATCATACGGTGCCTTCAATTTGGAAGTCTTGAGTAACTAATCAGAATCTTAATAAGATGGAAGAAATCTTACCCTGGTTGTCTCAACAGGGAGCTATTGCTTTTAGTCCTATTTGTCTTTCACATGATGTGTTGAGCAGCACAGCAAGAATACTATAAGTTTCATTTTTTCATTTGACCTAAGAAATGAGTAGACCACAAAATGCAGCCATCTGCTTACATGTTGCAGGATTTTTTTCCCCTTATTTCCAACTATTTCTTGCATTTGTTAAGGTTGTTTCCTGGAGAGGCACTTACAGGCTTGCTAACAAAGCCCGAAGTATATTAAATTCTGTTTACTTTTAGCCTGGTCAAGTTTTTTGTATGAAAGACATATAAATATAAGTACATCCTTGTCACATTGCCTTCTTATGAGAAACACTCTAGATGCCACGAGGTTGGTCTTCCATAGCAAGAAATTATTGACATTTGTATTCTCAAAAATGGGAGGAAAACTGTCCACTGGACAATTTCTCTTAGGCAGAAAGTTTTAAGATCTCATTTCTGTCCAAAGGTTTGATATTATTAAGTTCCACGCTCTGCTGCAAATGTTGGCATAAATGGAAAAGGAAAAACAGCACAGATCCTCTTCAAATTTCACCTCTCCTCTTGCTGAAAAGATCAGTATGTCTTCATACTATACTATGTTTTCTGTGGTATTCAACATTATAATTTTTTTAAGCTGTGGTGAGGACGTTGAAGAGAAGAGGCTGCATTATACTTTAAATTCAATGACGAGTAATGTAACTACACATTAAAGTCAAAGAGCAGTTCACATGAGAAATAGAAACACAAAGTGAGTCACTCATCTGGATAAAAACACATATATTATTAAATTTTCTTTCTTTATTACATTGACCTATAAATGTCTTGAGAAGCGCCAGACTGAAATGAGTGAGCAGAAGCAATCATACAAACACTGATCTGTACGATACAAGCTACCATGTTCAAAAATTCATGAAAATATTTGAACAAAGACACAATTTTCTTAGCAGTTCCATAGGTTCAGGGTGACTGTCATAGAACTGCTGTGCACAATAAGGGTACTTACCCTCTAACGCTCTACTACCGTAACGTACTTTTATGATCCCCAGGAAAATTCCACCACAACACTCAAGAAGAAAAAGTAGTGTGCCATTGTGCAGAAGATGAGGATGGGGTTTTTGCAATTTGTAGGAGTACTAGCCAACATTAAAAGGGAATTTCATGCAAGAGAACACAGGCTGTGACTGATCAGCACTGCTGGATCAAGCCAGCTACTAGATGGAAGTTTACTGGAAAACATGTAAAGGAAGGGAAAACTAGAGCAATATAAAAAGGCAGGCAGAGCAGACACAGGAGGCGAGCAGAACAATAACAAGAAGAACATAAAAAGAAGACATGTTATATTTAGGAATTAAATGTTTTCACGTTTTCATTTTGAGCCAGAAATAATTACCCTTGTTTGCTTTTAATCTCTTATGCAATTCCCTAGTTGATCATGATTAAGGCAAAATATTTAAATGACATGATATATGTTTCTAATGTGTGTCCATGCACATGGATTTTTGGAGGTTATTTACTCTTTTTTATTATAAAATTTGAATAATCAATTCCTGGTGGAATTCAACTAATTTAAAATTTAGCCTACACTAAAATTTGCAATGTTATTTATCTTCCTATCATCAGGTAGATTTTTTTACTCGGACAAAATATTAATTTAAAAAAGACCAAAATAGTTTCAGAATGACTCAAATGATGAAATATTTTCCTCCCAGTCACATTGAGGCACCAGAACTACAGCATATATGTTCTTGTCCTGATTTACCAGACGGCACCAGCTGATATTGCAAGCGGTCTAAGTTTCTCAAGACAGTTTCTCACATTCTAGGCAGCCACAAGTGTCTACTACAAAGCATTCACGGAAGATAGATGCAAGTGTTCTTTACAATGTGATGAAATTCTGGTCAAACTCTGGTCCACTCTTGAAGTTGTCATTGATGCAACACACAAAATAGAAGATTGGGTTACTGATATTTACATATGTGCTTCTCACAAGAGCAGATCAGTCATTAAGAACATTACAAATGTAACACAAAATAAAAACATTGACTGTTGAGATATCAGGGATCTCTTGATAAGTCAAATCAAATCAAATACAAACATTTGTGAAGTCTTAAAAACTAATGGCTTCTTCTTTTAGTTTAACATTCCTGTACTACTTTTAATTTAAAAAGCAAAAACGTTATCTTCCGCAGATAATAGTCTATTTACCAAATTAGTCCCTACAGTTTGCTCCATGACTGACCGAGGGACAGTTCCTTCCAGCCTTTTTTTATATAAATCGTTATAATTTGCAATCCCTGAAATATTTTCTTCTTTTTGACAAATGCATCTTTCACAAGATAAAGGTATTTCTTCAGGTACATAAAAATAATCTAATCTGAAAAGAGAGGAACAAAGTAAGAAACACAAGAATCAAGGGCATCAAAAGTCTAAGTGGCTGGTCCTGCAGCCCGTCCTCTCCTGTGTCAAATATCTATCAGCAGCTGAACATTTCTCTGATGTGTCAGAACACCTCAGGCCTTGAGGCTGGGACGAGAGGAGGCTTGTTAAGCTGGTTAAGACTCCTTAACTACATGTGAGGATTTGCTCATTTGCCCTTGAATCAAGGGTCTCTGACAGGTGATAGAAGTAAATCTTGGATTGGAAGATGTTCTGTGTCAGCCCCCTAGACAGCTTGTAACACAGTAGGGAATTATTTAAGCCATTTAGACTATTTTTGATACCTATCCTTTTCAAACCTGATTGTAATTTGCTTTGGCATTCTGCTCTGGGAAAATTGTGCCAACTAGGGACACAGGAGAAACTATGCAGGTACAAAGAGGAGTGCATGCAACTAAGGACTGAGATAAAGTTGTGCACTGGATGAAAATGCAAGGGAACCCATGTTAGTACAATAATGCAGGCAAAGGTGGATTGTATCATTCTCCTTGAAACAGATAAAAGCTATAGATAATTTTTCTGCCAAAGAATCATTTCTGATTGTTTGTGCCAGAAAGGCAGATAACTGACAGAAAGACAGATCCCTCTTCCTCTGAGGTACTATCCTGTGTAGTATAATGTTAACAGCAAAGCAATGATGAGCCTCCATTCCTGACGTAAAATACAAAGTTATGCTTGCTATATGCAAGCTTGATGATCTATAACCTGTAAATCCCTGTGATCATAGCACAAAATTCTCTATGATACTGGCAAAAGAAGTGCAAAATGTCATCAAAAACGTGGACAGGTTTTCACCAGGAACATACCATACTTCCAGCCTAATTTTGCACATAAACCAGGAAATATTTTTTTTTTCTATCAGCTTGTGTCCTAATGATAAATAAGTATAAATATATAATCAACAATAAGGGCTTACGTTTCTGAGAAACCAGATCTGCACTCACATAACAGGTAAAGACCAGAAGAGTAAAGACAAGATATGCATTTCTTCCACTTGATCATTTACCATTTGTGTGGCTGCAATGCCAATGAGTCTTAGACATGTGTGGTACCAGTGTGCCAATTACACAGGCCAAAAAACCCCAAAAGGTAGTTCCCATCCTATTGATAACAATGATTTATTTCTGCTAAAGAAAAAGAGGAATCATTTTCATTCTTAGCCCACATTAGGTAAACTTCAGCCAATATGTGATAACTCTTCAAAACACCAGAAAAAATGGAAACCGTTAGTTACAGTTGAAGCATATGGCTTCCATTCCAGTAGTTGCAATTGATCCTGTTATCATTCAAAGAGAGTATTACCAAGATAACTTATTATATTTACTAAATGCCTTTTCCTGGACACTTTAAAAATACAAACTTCTGGCAGTGAATGGGAACTGACTGTGGCAGTACTCTCACAGGGAGCTGATCCGTTTCAAGATATTGCCTGATCAGTACAGAAAACCCCACCTTTTTGAATACATCAGACTCTCCTCCAAATATGGTTGCTTTAATAAACCAAAAACAGGGTGGAAAGAATGGCTTCAGGCTCTCAAGGAGGAGAGTAGCTGCTCTCCAGGAAATTACGCACTTAGATGGTCTATGTCCTCAATCAAGATTAGTTTATTCAGGGACATAATAAAATCTCCCACTGAGATTCCTTTACAAAATCCATGGAAAATTCATGATGTAACTACAGCGTCTCATTTGTTTGCCATTTCTTTCCACTGTACATTAGACAATGGTCACTTAACTCACACAGCAATTCCCAATGATATTACATTATCCTCCTGATAGTCAGTAAAACAAAAACTACAGTGGCTTAAGCAGCAACACTTCTGCATCTGTTTGAACAAAATCTATTCAAATAATCAAACACTTGCAAGGAACTACTTAAAAACACAATTAAGGTACAATGTATTAATAAATGTTTAATACTTACACTTTTTCTGGTCTTCTGAAATAAGAGCCAATTTAATTTTGTCTGATATTAAATTTTAACAACCAGGTGGTAGGAGAGCTTTACTAATTCTGGGAGAGAAATCCTGCTTTACATGCCAACCATGTGGTAACTCTTAAAGTTGCACCTATTAATTACAAACTATCTTAAAATTACAAAAGGGCAACTGAAACAACACTAGCTTTCAACTATGTCTCAGTCCAAAATAATGGATTAATCTATATGTAGCCTCTAATTTTCACCCAGAGACATTCTAGCAGACTCTTGCAAAATCTTCACAGTAGGTAATCTATTTGGGCCTCAGAAAAAAAAAATAGTAGTAGACTTTGTATTCATCTAAAGAAGAAAGCCGGTCTTTGCAATTCTACTTCCTTCAGAAAAAAACACCAAAAATACCCCCTACTGCCCCTCAACCAATTACTCAAACTCCCAGCTAAGATGCAGATCTTGGACATGCCTATTTTACAGAAAAATGAGAGAAAACAAAGTAAACAATGAGCCGATGTATTATTTGTGCTGTAACATGCTATTTGACTTGCGTTACTCCCCAGTGTAGAGGGACTCCCTTGCTGGAAAAAATACAGCAAAGAGTAAAGACAGCTTTACTGACCTGTGTGCTGCCGCCGATGCTTGGTGAGGGCATGACGTGTCCCGCCGGCAAAGCCACAAAGGTCACAGAGGAACGACTTCTCGCCTGTTGCAACAATAAACAGATGAGGGACTGCGGAGGTCACAGATCATTAAAACATATCTATCAAGGCTTTCAGGGTTACTAATTCCTCCAATCAAATGTTTCCATGTAAATATGTCAAATGGGAATGAAATTACCACTGCGGTTTATTGACTGTGATAAAATCTGAAAAGCACCACTGAACATAATTACATACTTGTCAGACCCATAAAAATTAGCTTTATTATCAATGGAATGGTTTTGTACAACTTCATTTCTGTTAGATGTCTTCCAGATGGGGCTGCTTTATGCACTTGAACAGTTTTTATGCATATCCTGATTTTTTACAATTCCCATACATCTGGCCTTTCTGTGCTGAGTAAAGATTGCCTGGAAAAAAAGTTAATATGCTGTATATATGATTCTGCTTAAATAAAATATATTGAATTTACTAACAAATTAAGGGTACTGAGAAATTTTCAACAGACTCGATCACAGTCATCTTTAGTTACCTTCCATTTATTAATCAGTATTAAATTATTTTCTTGAATATACAGAAGAGCCCAGACAACAATAAAAGCCACATTATTCAGTACCAGTGGCAATTCAGCACTGTTTATGTTTCTAAAGTTTTTATGACAGAAAGAAAACAGGTCTGGGGATTGCTACTGAAATTACAGCAGAACTCGTATTGTTCGTCTTCAAATGATAATTCTTCATTCCAAACCTCTGGACCAATTTGAGAGATTTTGGCAAGCTCAATACTCATTAAAAGTGTGGAAATGCTCTCTTAGCAATTTTATTTTATTTTTTTAATAGAACCTAGGATTTTGCCCTGTTGTCTACAAACACAGTCTATCATTTCGCAGCAATAGTTTTACTCAGTACGCGCTAACATACAGAGCAACCTCAGCCCAGGAAGGCCACATGGAAGGTCATTATGAATTAATAACTCTAACCTCAGATATAGACTCAATAACCTCTGATAAGGCCGAAACTTTAAAAATATTTTCTTAAAAAGGAACCGCATTAGTCATTTGGAGCCAAATTGTCTCCTTTCACAGCACCAGAGCGGAGAGAGGGCTGGTGGGGCTATGATACGAAACCCATTGAAACTAAGTCTCCTTCAAATTCTTCCCCCGTGGGGAACGAAATTTAGTTTCTACAAAAGACAGCTGGGTTAGGAGGTCGAGTGTCAAATTACCCACTCCTCCTGTGAAGACAGAGGGATGGAAACCCCCATGTCGTTTGCTCCCACATAGCCAGGCATGCTAATACACAGACTGGCTGGGAAAGCACAGTGCCTCGGTTAACTTCGGATGCCAGAGACCATCTTGTGAGTGGGACCTCCCCAGAGAGCACTGCAGAAAACAGATGCCCTCTCCCACTACTGCCTGGATGGAACCCCAGAGGAACCCCACCTCCTCACTCCAGTCATTGCAGTGCAGGAGTCCCTGGGCCCCATACTGCAAGTGGGAAAACAATTCCTTTGAAGTTTCCAGGGCAGCCTGATACCTGCCACTAAAATGGGATCATAAAAATGCTGATTGACCTCCACCAGCTAGCTAGGTAATGAAATGTGGTAGGCACATATTCTTCTCCATTTCAGCAAATGGCATATTTTTGTTTGCTGTTTGCTGTACCCAAATCTGCTCATGAAATGCAGACTCAAATTTTACAGGATTTGGGGATTTTTTTTTTTGCAAATTTGGTCCAGTGATGAGATTATTCCAAGACGGTATCTAAGGAGCAAAATAATTTCAGTGCCTCTTCTTAGGAGTCAGTTCTAGACATCTTTGATTATAATTTCATTTAAAAAACTAACAACCTCCCCTTGCAATAAACCAACCAACCAACCAAAACCAACCAACACCCCCCCCCCCAGAATACAAACCAAAACCAAACGCCCCCCAGAATACAAACTAGAAAAGGCGGAATGGAAACCTATCCTGACAATCATATGAAGAATGCACTTGTACTAAATGATGCAACGAAGTCTGAGTTTTACTGCAAAATGTTTATCACTTGCATTATTGCTGAGGTTATACATAACTGTTACACAGATTTCTGCATTTCTTTCTTTAAAAAAAAAATCTTTTTATTATTTTCTTAAAAATCAGGGTTGTCAGCATGTAGCACTTCATCAAAATAGCAAAGAAAAATAGGATTACATATAATGCTTAATTATAATTAAATATTAATTTAATTAATTAATCAATTTTAAGTATAAATCTTTCTAACTAGCTGTAATGCCTAACACCCCAGCATAAAATTCACACTTTAAAGTTAAATGCTGTTCCATGCCTACCAA